TAGTTGTACTCGAAGAATACTGCATGATAGAACTCTAAGCAAGCTGAGAACAATCAATACTCTTGTCTGATCTAGCAGTGCTTGGGAGATGTTCAGTGTGTAAGTACTTTGCACGTTCCTTCACAGGCCTTTGGCTTTCTTTGCTCCCAGAGTACTGGGTGTGGCTGCATGGCCTACTGTAGGTTGCACTTCAGTAGCTTTCACCAAGATATACCAATGCATGTCCTAGGTTTGCATGCATATTCTTACTTTACTTTTCTCTGTGTTGGTACATCATTTACTGTCTTGCAGCACAGTGTCTGATAGGTAAAGCTATGTTTAACAGGTCATGCATTTCAGTTGACTGGCATGCCAACAGCTGGGTGGTGTCTCTCTATTACACCAAATCTGTGTTGGACATTGATTTGATTAAACAGGCAATAAAATGCCTGCTGTTAACATTATCAACCAGAACCGGGACATTCCCATGCTGATAACAATATGAAGGCCTACAAAACAAGCTTTGCAGTCATCAAAGAGAAATTAGTAAAAAAATCCCTGAGCTTATGGTTGGCAGATCACGGTTTTTTGCAAACAGTTTGGCCATTAGAGAGGACGAAAACAAACTGAGCAGTGACAATTTTCTACAAAATTTTATTGACAAACAAACAATCTCTTCTATATTTAATATACACACTTTTATTCTATTTTTACTTTAGACACATATAATCTGACCTTGTACCTTATTTACACCCTCTCACATTTGCCAAACACAGTCAACTTGACTGAAGTCAACCAGCACTTTACAGTGTTATCTGAAACATTTAATGAAAACTGTCAGCCAAATGTTGGCTCTTTGTTGACCAACAGTGGGCCGACAAACAGCTGACAGTCAACCGACAGTTGGCCAACAAACTTTTGACAAACACTCAACAATATATTCTGGGAACTGTTCTTAACTTTTACCGAATTTTTCACAGGTTTTGTAATGGGAACTGCCTAGCACAACCATAGTTGGCAAACTTAAGTACAGTATGTAAAATATATGTACAACACTGATAATAAGAGCAGGGCAAACAGCTAGTGCGAGTATGTAGGTCAGAGACTATAAATCCATTAAACGTTGACTGAGGCAACAAAACACATCCATACCCTCCCCATGGAAGGTGAAAACCACAATTTGTAAATGTGGCTAAATGTAATTTAGGCCAAGTTAAAAGTGAAACAAGATTCCTGGCCAGCAGTCTCCCTCAGAGTGAGTTTGGGGTGGCCAGGGGATTTGTGCAGGGGCGGATCGATTTTACAGCTTGGCTATGGATGTCAAATCATTCCATCTTTTTTTTGCTGCTGGTCAGTGCTTGTTAAGCTTTTCTCACAGTCCACCTGTCTCCCTTTGGCTTGAGGGTAAGTATGTGGTAAGTATCCTGTGTTTCCACTATTTTTTCAGTGTGATGGTGTCTGGTGGTTGCCGCTCACAGGGTTGTTATGGCTACCCTAAGTGCTCGGTTTAGTTTGCTCTCGGGCTCCACCATCCTTTCAGGCGCCATTCCCCAAGCTCATCGTTTGTTGATGAGTTTAAAGGTAGGTTTGTCGCAGAGCTGGAAAGTTCTGGAAGGGTAGATGAGGTTGGGGCTCAAACCAAAAACACATCTAGGTGTGGGAGGGAGTCATGGATATTTTCTGGGAAAACACTCTTAGAGTTTTGCATTGATTTGAGTTACCGTTGTTTTAAAGAATGGAATACTGAACTCATGGAATGTTGGAAGGAATTATTGCCATGTTTTTGTGCCAACTTCACTTTGCATATCTCTAAAAGGTGCTGTAAAACACTCACAGATGTTATGGAGTGGCAACTGCACTGGCTAGTATGATGTGCATCATGGTAAGAGGCATTTATTCAAAAGCACTACTACATCATCTACAAGCACTACTACAAGCTTAACTGAACTGATGATTATAAACCTTCCTTGACACACCAAATGTCATGCAGTAGGTGACACTTTTACTTGACTTTTAAATAGACCTTTTTGGCTTGGGCAGTTTGTTGCCCCATTTCAGATCATGGGTAGATATCTTTGAGAATTCTTATTTTCATATAGTCGCATGTATATGAAGGAATAATTTTTAGATGGATAAACAAGCAATTCTCCAGAGAATATCACATGGTCTGCAATGGAAAACAAACTGCCTAAGCTAAAGAGGTCTATTTGACAATGACTTTTGTTTACTCCTTACATGCAATAGGCAATAAAATGACTCACCAAATTATTTAAATAAAAAAAAACTGTTATTGATGCTCAAAACTTATAAAAAAAACCTACTCATGGATAGATAAAATAAATGGCACTGTTTGCATAAGACCATAATATAACACCCAAGTGGTTTTGACATACTAGTACATGTAACTAACTACTCATAAGACCACAAACGCCATTGGCTACAAACAATCTAGCTTGTGACCTCTTGAACCAATCTCACAGAATAATTGAACGTTGACCTTGACCATTCCTTCCAAAGCTCTCCTTACTTAGGTTCAGTATGCAACGTAATATAGTTCTGTTTGAGAGTCCAGGGCTAGTAGATACTGTCTGTCATTTGCCTGAAGAGCTAACCTGCAAACAGCCATTTTTTTCCCTTGGGAAAATTTTTTGACAACATTAAACTGCTTGAGGGGCTAGTGAGAATAAATTTTGGGCTAGTATAAAAAGTTACAGCTTCTCTGGAAGGCAAGCCCAAAATTGATTTTCTTACATCACTTAGACAAGATTAATAATGCTTTATAATAATAATTATTATTTTATTATTATTATAATAATAATTATCCTTTCAATTTAGTCTACATATTTGCTATCTTAAAAGTATATACAAGCAATGGTCATCTGTGTAACATTCACCAGAGTTCACTCCTTTTCATTAAGGAACGCTGTAGCAATTCCAAATTCTTTGTGCTTAAAAACCACCACAGTGTGTTTGGTTCGTTCTTCGTGGGCTCCTTTCAGAACATACTTGATAGTTATAGTCAATGCAAGTGGACTCTGAGAACAAAAATTAGAGCCATTATAGCAAAGTGCAGTTACCAGAGTAAGTACACTGTGGGAACTTTACTGTATAGTTCAGTCCTAAAGCCAAGATCATCATTTTGAAAAACTGTTGGTCCAAGTAAAATTTATATCAGAAATTACTTATTAGAATTAGAAAGTAATTTTGGCACCAAAATCAAGTTATTAGCTCCTTGACAGCATTGCTTGTAGGGAGGAGTGAAAACAAAATCAGTTTACCTTGAGTCTTTGAATGTTGTAGATCTCACTGATCTTCTCCACAGGACTTTGGGTAGGTCCATTATGCTGTGGTGGCAAGCTGCGTGGCACTACCCCAGTATGCTATTTAAAAGACAAGGTCAGACAGGTATCACGTATTAACAATTTTGTAGATCATTTGTAAGCTGTGGGCAGTGAGACATCATTAAATTATTATCGACTGATGAAGATATTTAAAAGAAGGTTATAAACAATTTCTAACAATAAATTATCAAAATTAACACACTCAGTTGCAAGCCGAGATGATTAGTTGAACAAGTTCATATCAGCATGTTTCTTTGTGCAAAATAATGATCCTGGGTCAAGCACATCCCGGCGAACCCCACCCCCAACTAATCCTTGAGTGTTGACTGCTTGCATCCTCTTTGATGAAAAACATAAAATGTTGTCAACGTCAGGTTCATTAACATAACATAACTGGTGGTCAAGAGTAATCAACGAGGGCTCTTTCAATTTCATTAGTTATCAGACATATCTTTCATCCAAGTGGCATCCAAGTGGCAATGGCAAAAGCTGTACAGGGACACCGTGCAATTACTTGTAGAAAAAAGATCTAACTTTTAATTACCTGTACAACCTGTCTCAGTACATTAGTAGTGGTTGGATGGAAGAAAAAGCTCTGAACATCCTAAAAGTACATAATATGGTACATTACAAGTCAGAATTCTTTTGACATGATTAAATTGACACACAGTAATAAAATACTTATTGTCTTGTTATGCATTGATTAAACATTAATCCAGTTCCTAAAAAGTGATGAAACAACAACTGCAAGTAGCTTAAAAGTGTGACCACTTTAATTTACTTTTTAAAAAAAATTCATATTCTTTCATGCAAGCAGACGATCCAATTAGGAGCCGAAAATCGTTTTTCTTAGCTTCTGATTGGATAGTATGAGTGCGAGAAGAGAATGTGAATAAATTTGAAGTGGTCACACTTTCGAGCTGCTTGGTGTAATAGGCTAACAATTTATTAAAGAGCATCCAGCTTCCATAACACTTCAATACCTGAGGCAAAGTTTCCAACATTAAGCTGGCATCACAGAACGTTGCTTCTCCCAGGTCAATGACCCTCAGACACAACCTGATAGCATTCGAAAGCCAGTTTTGGTGTTCAAACCTGATCTCTATCTTGATGTCAGATTCACACTTAACCACTCGCTTCTGAGGGAGTTCTGTAAAACAAATTGTAAAAAGGCAGCATGAAGAGCTTTGTATCGGGTGGCCTAATTTTTTCAATTTCATTTTTCTTTTTTCAACAGGTCTTTTTCCTTAAGGTGCTGAGATGCACAGCAAAAGGTATGTCCCTTGTCCAAGAAGGCAGAGGTGCAGTGGCCTCATGGTTAGTGCGTTCTACTCCGGATCAAGTGGTCTGGGTTTGAACCCTGGATGGGGGACATTGTGTTGAGTTCTTGGGCAAGACTCTTAACTCTCACAGTGCCTCTCTCCATGCCATCCAGGTGTACAAATGATTACTGGGAAATTTAATGCCAGGAATAACCCTGTAATGGACTAGCATCCCACCCAGGGGGGAGTAGAAATATTCTTAGTCGCTTTATGCTAAAGAAACCAGGATAAGCTCTGGCTTGATGGGCCACTTGGCGTCTCTGTAGACTTTGCCTTTACCAAGAACACAATGCAATGATCTTGGCATGCACTCAACCCTTATGTACTGTCTCAAGTTTCATTGTCTCTAAGGGTCTTGAATTACTTACTATGAATATCAAGCCATGCCCTTCGTCTCTCATCAGACGATGCATCTGGGACAATGGGATCACGTAAACTGTAACTTTTGGTTGTGGTAGTGTGGTACTGTGGACGTTGCCTCTCAACCCACTGATTTGCATTAACCTCTGCTTCAACATCTAACAAAAAGGTAAAGAATAGTTAACTTAGTATTTTTTTTTTTTGTTGAGAAACAATAATGAGTCTCAGACCAGATTATCTAGCTAGTATGCAGTATTCAGTTATACTTCGGAGTGGACGGTGTTTAAGTGTCAAATCTTTTCGTGCAAGAGTATCAATTATCAGTTGTCAAAAATGGAATGTGTTCTTGGTCCAGGAAGTAAGTCATTAACTTAACCCTTGACACCCTTAATGCCTCTCCTTAAAGTCAGCCTACAACCCAGACTGAAAGATGACAAGTGGTGCAGAGTTCTAAAATCCTTATGGTGATGTCATTACCTGGGTGTTTGCAGGACCATTCAACATCTAGTACCCTTGCATCATGTAGAATGTTTAATCAAGCTAGAGGTACCAATTAATCAACCCAGACATTTTCTTTTGTCAAAACCAAAAACAATACATTCTCATAAAACAGGTTTTGATCTCTTGAACCCTTTATTACTCTGACTTGTATTTCATTTATAGAACAGGCAAATCCATACCTCCTGCGACTTGATGCAACACATCCTCAACTTTGGTGTCATTCATGACATGCTTCAGCAGGTGTTTCATGTACATTCCGTTGGGGTCTTGTCTTCTTTCATAAGCTTCAGACTGAGGGCATCTGTTCAAAAAAATAAATGAACAAGAGGTTCATTGCATCGCCAATTATCATGTGATCATTATCCAGCAAAGTTTATTCCAAACATAGTCTCAATTTTTAAACCTTTCAGTGCACCATAAGAATTTACCATTAAACATCAATGATTAGTTACTAAATCCATCAAAAAAAAAACAAACAAAAACAAACAAAAAAACAGCACACTTTTTCCATTTCTGGTATCCAGTCCACTTCAGTCTATATTTTTTTTACAACTGAGAAGCTTATTGGCCACCCAACAAACTTTCCAACTACAGTAAAATGTGGCACTTGAACATGTTACATTACCAAGTAGTGTACCATTAAATTGATTTTTTTCAAGACTATTAGTAAGTTACTATAAGAGAATTATACAGCTGCAACTGCAAATAATGCAAATTAAACAACTGCCATAATTGATGCAAAGACTGTTCAATTAATTTTCTTGATAAGAAACATCCAGAACTTAATATGTGATTGAAAAACAAAATGTACGGATGGTCTTTACTTACGTGGCAAACCCTAGAACTGCCTGTGCATTATATGGAAATTCATAGCTCTTAAATGCAAAACTTGTCTCAACATTTGACCTTGAAATGAGAAAAAAATACCAAGATAATCAACAAGATTGAAGAAGGAAGCTTAGGTAAGTGTGGAATGGAAAGGCAGTTGGCAGTGGTTGAGCACTTGTGAACAACTGAGGCTGGGAGCAGGGGGCAGGTCGATAATGATTCAATTAACACCTCTGTGCAATCATTATCCATTGCTGTTTTATTAACGAAAGACTACTGACAACATTTTTTCTATGAACTTTCAGTTAGAGATGGCTTAGAGGGTGGGTAAGTTACCCTCCAAGCAGGAGGACCAATGTTTCTCTGTATAAACAGCCCTCAAACACTTCTATTTTAACAGATCATTAAATGTTTCTTATCTTCTTAGCTGACACTTTTTTTAGTTCCAAAGGTGTTTATTTGCCTACAGGGGATTAACCTGCAGTTCATTAGCAAATAGGTTAGAATACTTGTCACCTCATGATCTAAATAAAAATTACTGTTATGTTTGCTAGTGCACTAAAACAACTGAACCTACCTTTTGCGACAGATATCCAACAGGAACACAATCAATTCTGTATGACATCTGTTCATTTCATCCAGAACTTTTTGAGCACACACTGCCTTCTCTGGCACCCATTCTCCCTCTGCATCAACAGGGACAAGGTAGTTTTGTCCACCTTCCTCAAAACCATGCCCCGCAAAATACACCAAACCATACACTTCCTTACCAAGGAGGCTGTAAAAGATGCCAAGTGCTTGACACATCTCATCTGTCGTGAGGTTCATGAGAGAGATGACTTTGAAGCCCATTTCAGGCTTGCGCAACATTGAGGCAAGCATTTTTGCATCGTTGCAAGTGTGAACTAAGGGGCTTTCATTGCATGGTAAGCGAACATAGTCACGGTTTCCAATGACCAGGGCAATTTTGTCAGTAGCTGAAAGAAACCATGCAAATTAAGATATAGCAGCTGTTCTTTATTATTATCACTTATTGCCTCAGGGATACTTGGCCATGCTACTGTTTCAAGAGGGAGTACCACAAAAAGAAGGGGTAGCTGAGTATGAGAGTAACAAATATCAACATTTTTAATAATTAAATCAGTTCTATGGAAAGGTGTTGACACTTTCATATTAATTTTAGTTCGGAGTTTTAAAAGTAAACATGTACAGTAGCATTGTTTAAAGTGCCACTGANTTTAATGGTCTGGAAGAAATTAGGTTCAAAGTTGAAAAATTAAAATTTTGCAAACCAAGCAAAGTCAATTTTGACAAAACATCCGGTAGTTCCTATTAAGAAATTTCCATCTCCTGTACCACCCAGGAATGCGATAATGTTGCAACACCTTATTATCCAATTTACGCTCTATTATCTGCCAAGTGGTCGCTTATAGCAGGTTAAAAACAAAATTAAAGAAAATTTCAAACCTTCAGCTCTAAAAGTGGTCGTGGTTGCTTATGAGTTATAAGAGGTGGTCGCTTACAAGAGGTTCCAAATATAGTGATATGACATGAAACGTTTGGTATTTTGGAAAACTGGTCGCCGAGGAGAGGTGGTCATAACCGGAGGTTCAACTGTATGAATTTTTTGGTAACCTACCTCTTTGTGTGAGTTGAGCTGATCTTGAAATAACTGTTAATTAAAACAAAAAATGTTTAAAAAAAAACATTTTAAATAAAATTTTCCCATTTGAAAGAAAGAAATAGAATTGAATACAGAATCAAAATACCACACTACATAAGAACTCAATAAAACACAGTATGCAATTAATTACACGTACTAAAAGGCTGGCTGTCTTACCTGCCTGATCTAACAAAGGATCATATCCAATAGGAACCACAGCTAAGATATAACACATAAAAAATGTAATTAATAACAGTTTGGGATTGTAAAAAAAAAACATTAAATTGAGTTGTGAACTGGTGACCAGGTCATTCTTTAAGATTTCGAAGCTCTTGGGGATATTTTTTTGTGGTTGTTACCTCAAACGCCAGGTTGTCAACATTTTCTTTTAGTCATAGGTATATAGGTATATCAGAAGCATATCACCTTCATATATATGTTTATTCTTATTTTGGTACTCCACTCACTTGCTGAATAATAACTTGTTTTAATAGCTTTTGGTACCATTTTCTATTGGCTGTTAGAATTGTATAGATTGGACCAATCAGAGAAACGTTTAGAGAGCCTACTAGTAAAATATTATGGGATCTTTCTTTAAGGAAGTTTACTGGTAAAATGCCCAATTTAATGTTTTTATCTTTCTTTACTTTAGCCATTTGCAAGTCAAAGGAATAAATGTTACATACCAGCCTGTAATACTGCGACATTACTAAGTGCATCACCAGCACTGTTCTCAACCCTACAGCAATAGTGGCCTTCATTTCTATAATGAAATGGCTGGAAATTCAAGTCTGGTCTTGTCTCTCCCACAAGCACAAAGCCATCTTTATACCACTGGCATTTCACTGGTGATTCCAAGACTTCAATGCCAATGCTAAATGGGTGACCATCAGGTAAAATGCACGATTGTGGATGCTGTGTGATGACAGGTGGATTTTTAGCTAAAAAACAAACATTGACAACACTTTAAAAGATAAATCTTGGACTCAATCAGAGTTCTTATAGGGAGACAGCAATTTAACAGGTAGTTTGGCTTTCAAGTTAATTAATAGTTCGTACCTTGAGGAGTTGTTTCTTGCTTTGTGAAACCATTCACTGGGAAGGTTAAAAAGATGGCACAGCAAATTAGCATATTTAATTTTGCCTAATGTGGCATGCAGAGAAACATTTTACAATGAGTGCAGAAATTTGTGCATGCTCACTGGCCAATTTTCTTTGTCAACAAGCAGACAAAGGTATGAATTTATAATCTATGCAATATTGACAAGACCAGCCAGAACTGACGAGTTGACAATTTATTATTGTAAAAAACAAATTAACACCAGTTTTTCATGTGTCTGTCCTGTTGCTGACCATGAATTTCGTCATAACATTGTCAAAGTAGTCTGCAGATCCAAAACTAAATTGACAATGTTATGACGAAATTCATGGTCAATAACAGCACAGACCCATGAAAAACTGACATCAATTTGTTAATTTGATTTCAACTGGCTTTCTTTCAATATAAAACAAGGTAGACAAATGCACCCATCAGTAGTAACAATTTCTAATTACAGTAACTTAGCTTTAATTAGGTTCACTAATAACACCACAATTAGCTTTTTATAGATCAAAGAATTTGGTTCTAAGTAGTACTAAATTATTTGTGTTTGAGATTTAAGCAAGTCATTTGTTGCGGCTCACCAGGAGATGGAAGAACTTGTAACTCCACAGTGTTGCTTTTCTCTGCATTCAGTTGATTTGACACAATGCAGTTGTATTTGCCACTATCCTCCAGTTTTACGTGATCTAAAGTAAGCTCCTCATCATTGCCATCAGGCAACTCCATTCCATCCTTGACCCATTGATACACTGGGCATGGATATCCTGTGGCCTTGCACCTCAGGGTTACACTTGCACCAGCACGCACTGGCTGGGACTTTGGCTGTTCAGTAATCTGCACCTCCTCTGCATCAATGTGAACATTTTACAATTAATTGTAAAATTATTGCATCAACATGCACTAATGAGTGCTTCACTGGAAATTTAGTCTGCGAGCAAGGCTACACAAGCAGGATTAGCGTAGCTCCAAGATAAGAAAGTGGTGGCTGTTCACCAGACTCCACTCTGCTGGATAGCTTCGCTGGCCAACTCATTCACACCACTCGTGCATGTGACTCAAAGGTGAGCCTGCGATCGCATGCTACTGAAAGTTATCCCAAGTGATTAAGTTTTGTTGTCAGTGAAATATTACTGGCACAATGCCGGGTGTCCGGCATACTAGGGAGGTTAAGAACGCCAGTGATGAAGAGAGACAAGAAATTATAATGTCAATGACTGTGTTTCCCCTAAATATTGCAGAAAACATAGGGGGAGTTTTCAAATTCTTATGTACCTTAAGGCAAGGCCACATATCATTAATTCTATCAAACTTCAAGTTTAACTAATCAAGACTCATTTTGAATGTTTAACTTTTCATACAAAAGTGGAAGACTGAAACAAAGAAGAAAAACGCAATTTTTCTGGGTTTCATAGTTAATATGTGATGTTGTTTGCAGTAATCATTTATCAGTTAGATAATGTCAGTGCTTGAAATAATGTGTTACACTTAAGCCATTTAAAAAACTGACATTAGATACTTGTAGCACATTTAACTAGTCAATTGTCTTTTAGTTACCATGGTATTCCAAGATGTCCAGGGCTTTATCATTCCCAATTTTTTTCAGCCAAGAAACAAGCTGTTTAACAGTTTTACATCTTTGGCCCAAGTCATTTAACAAAGACATTGCTGGACTGCCATCCATTCTTGCTTGCTGCCTCTCAAACATTGCCACCTGACCAGTGAAAACAGAGTTACAGGGAATTTTTATAATAGACATATGAATAAAAAGAGAGACCTCTTGCACATGCAAAGGTTGCCTGACTTCTGCCTTGGAATCTAACAGCTGGGGGTAAAACACCATTATTTAAATTAATATTATTATTTCCATTGGTTTGAGTTTATAAAATTTAAAAAAAAGTGTCCTTAAGTTAAGGATTCTATAACCCTTTCACTTAGTCAGACACCTTAAACAACATGGTACAGTTGTAAGTTAAATAAAAAAATGAACAATGATATATATTCAATTCAATCTCACCTCTTCAGGTTTATAAGCATTACTTGGCATAGCAACTATAAGAGCTTTCCAGTTTCGAGGTCCCACCATGTCAAGCTGTTCTGCTAATTTGTTAAGAATACCATAGGGCAGCACCCTTATTTGCTTGTCCAGGTATGCCATGATTAGGCACTCTATTTACCTGTGAAATTCATACTTTACATAAGATTATTTTAGTGTTGAAAAATTTAAAGGTCAGACTTCAGTAGCCTGTGAAGAAAGGCTCCTTGAGGGATAGGGTATAAAAGGCCCAAAAGTAGAGCAAAAAGAATTTGATATGCAAAGTGAACCAAGCACAGTCTGAATTCTTCACAAACCACACTCACTTACTGCTGCTTGCTCTTAAATACTGCACTTAGCTAGCTGACTGCGTTTATCCCAGACCTAGTATCTTAGTATCCCACACAGGAGCCTGTTCACAGGCTAGCCAGAGTCATTCCAGGTGACGATCTTGAAACACTAAAATGAGGGACAATTTATTCATCTGCCCCTGAATGTGCAACACCGTATATCGTCCATCTATTTCTTCCTCTGATATAATTGTCACATTGGACTGTGGAGTTTGAATAATTTGACGAATACTAGCAATCTGGGGACAGGACACAAACCACCCTTGGTATGCACAGAGGTGATTGAACTGTCACTGACCAATTTGATTTCCCCAGACCCTTATCCAGAGTAGTATAGTCACATCCCCAGGTTTTGGTTGAAAACCCATAGATGATGGTAACTCCATAACTAAGTGAGATGTCCCACCAATCTTTACCAAATTCTTTTCTAACAATTTTTGCCAAATTCAATTCTTTACCAAAAATATAGGTTGACCTTGCATATAATTAAGTGTGAAGTGATCTCAAGGAAGTGAAAAGTTTCATTGGGTGTAAATGACATCATCAAACCAAATTAAGGTGTTAACAAAACAGTACAATAGATTCCGTTCTGTTCTGCACCAACTGCACGTACTGAAGTTTAATAGCACGTGCCACCACCTTTTGTAATTGACAGTCCTTTTGCAAACACTAATACCTTTTTCAGATTTTCAACACTGGATGCCCAAGTAATCAATATCCAAACAAACAAATACATCTCCACTAAGTTTTAATACGCGGTGTTCCGTTGATGCATAAGATTAAGCGCTGGATAAAACTTAAAACTTTGCGCTTTGCCACTTTGATGCCAAGTGCCCCCTCCCTCCCCCCAACCACAGAGAGACAAGATTCCAGGCGCTTACTATCATAAGTAAGCGATGATAAGAGCTGCTTTTGAAGCAAGAAGAAAGTTTCTGTTATCAATAAAAAAGATTGAAACAAAAACTCAACAATCGGACTTCGATCGTGAGATTCTCAATGGAAGTTACCTGCCACAATAGCTATATTACACACACGATCAATGGAATATTACAAAATAATGTCTTTAAAGTATCCAATTGTAGGCTTAGTTTTGTTCTTTATACAAAATTCGATTGCTAAATATCCACACCTGAGACTACAAGAACTCACCTTAAAGCACCTCTAAGCTGAAACGTTGTTCCGTAAGAAGATAGGTAGAAACGATGCCAAACTACAAATTAAAGCGGGAAATTTTTGCACAGGAAGACGTAAGCCGTTCTCGATCAAATCCAACTCCCACGCTCTGATGTTCAGCAGGCAGCAGGATTCTAGAACATGTTTTGCTGGTAAATGATGAAAGTAAAGTAATCCTCACAAATTGAGAACTTTGTCGTGATTCATATATATAGAAGAAAATGCAAAAGTCATTGAGGAAAATAGAACATGAAGGTAAAGTCCCTTCGCTGATCGATTTCTTTTTCGAGTCTTCCTGGAAAGATACCGGAAGTTGTACCCAGTTCCCCTTGAGCTACTCTGTGGCGCGCTTGGGGCGCGCAAAGTAACATAAGGCCATAAAAACTATTGCAACGTCCTAAATCTTGTGAAATTTTGTGAAATGTAAACACGAGAAACGCCTTCAGTTTAAGTAGCGTTGTCTACGCTCCCTGGATAAATCCTGCTCTTTGAAAACATACTTTCAGTTCGAGAAGTTGATGAACCACGTACAGTGGGCTCACAATAACGACGGGAGATTGGGAAGAAGGAAGGGAAACTGAAACACGTTTGAAAATAGGGAGAAATATTGTCCGGATCATCTCATTTCTGTAATGCTTCTAAAATTAACTTCTACTTTATCGAAAGCCCTATCAAACGCTGTAAGATATTCTACTCTAGCAAAACGTTTTTTTTCGGGGCTATTTATTAACCAGCTAGTATTAAAAAGAGCGATGTAAAATAGTTAGACCTTGTGGTGCTGAACTGATTTAAAGAGTCGACGGGAAAATTGCACCGTAACAATCTGGTGAGTGCAGTTCTTCTTTTTTTATAACTTCTGTTGTACAGATAAGTTTTTAGAGCTTAAGCTAGCTAAAATTTCAAGTAATAAACAGGAGCTTCTGGGTTTAATATTTGCTTCTCTTTTTTTAAAATAAGGTAAGTTAAGTTAATTGCCAGGTTCGCAATATGGGCTTAAATTTTTCAATAACTGACCGTTATATATTGTCCCAAAAGAAATTCGCTCAAGTTAAAGAGACTATTGGTGAAACTTTACCTCATATTAACTTCAAACCCGCTGTTGTGTAAACCCCCTGGGGGAGGGGGTTCTCCTATATATATAAGCTATATACATGTGTATGTGCCACTGTGAAGGGTATGGTTTTCAGGCAGTTTAGACTGGGACAGGGTATAGAAATCACACAGTTTTGGTCTAGAATAAGGTATAAGTTACCAGGAAAGTGGCCAGTGTACAAATAATTTAATCTAGAACAGGGTTCTATATTACCAGTGGTTCTATAATAGAAATTGAAAATCGAAAGTGACTTTGTAAGATATTGCTTTAGCTAGCATATGTTGGACTACAATGATGATAAAGTTTCTACATTGGAAATAGCTAATCTGGGATAGGGTAGGGGTTCCTAGTCTAGAATAGGATTGCAAAATCAAGAGGAGACGATGATGATCACAAGCACATAGCATAATGTTCTCCAGCATTGAATTCTAGCAGCTCATTTTTATGCCACTCCCCTTGACTGCATTCATTAGGTAGAAAGTTCATGTCTGTTTTACTCAGCGTGAGATACATCAGCATATATCTAGACATTAAATAATAATAATGATAATTTATTGATAATAATAATATTAATAAATTATTGATTTTCGCATAGAAACCATCGACGTTCAATGGATAGGAGATCTATCAATGACTTGTCTGAGGACATCAAAAATAGAATAGCAGAAGTTTTGGACAAGGGAGATCAGCTACCCAACTGGAGATTGCTGATAAGAGATGTCATAAGACAATACATGCCTTTGTATGATGAGGCTTTTGTCACCAAATATTTTGCTATGGAAACACTGTTACCAGGTGGAAGTCCAACCCTTAAACTGCTGAATGACTTGGGAGAAAGAAAAATAACTGTGGGAGTTCTGATAAACTGGATCAGTTCTTTAAATCAAATGAGACCTAACCTGCAGCTGCAGGCAGTATTAAATTTGTTAAGTATGTTTGCAGACTTATCTCATTTGCTCAAGGTTGCTACCTAGATTTGAATTCTTTTCTATCCATACATATTGCGTATTTATTTGCAGGTCTTCGTACTTGATATGTAAAGAGTCCCACATGGCTATAATTCCTACAATAGTCAGACCTAACACTCTTAGATACTTAAACACAAAGAAATAGTTAAGTAACAAATCTTGGTGTATTCTCCAGAAACTTTACATGGAGTGACCACCACAAAAATTGGGTCATGTAGCAGCTGTTGTAAGGTCCCACATTAATGGCTCGATGCCCTTTAAGTGAACAATAAAAGAAACAGAATTAATGCCCGAGCCCTAAAACAATAACAGCTTGCATGTACAATAATAAAACAATAGCAGCGTAGGAGAGCCGCTGCACTTCTGCAAAAATTAAGTGTTGCTTAGAACTGGTTACCAGTATAAAAGGGACAGGGGTACTCATCGGAAATTTTCAAAAGAACCCCTAAGAGGTGCGAAGACCCTTTTTTGTCGGCGTGGCTTGAAATTATTTTCACACCCAAGAGGTACCAATTTTGAAGCAACACATTAAATGACACTGACTTTTTTGGCTCAAATTATACCCTAAAAGGTACTGCAGAAGCTCCTGCTGTGGGACCTTTTGAGGCTGACCACCCTAAAAGGTACAATGAGCACCCCTGTCCCCTCCCCAGGGTGTTGGTAGCAGTTATGGCTTAATTGAGCTAATATACCAAATAATCGCAGAATCCTTGTGCTAACGATTGCTGCACATTAGCCTCAAGAGGTTTCTTTTTACTGTGTAATTACGCATTTTGTTTGTTCATTGTGTGCAGCAGACCTGTCCTAATAGAATTAAACTGCTCTGACTAATAATTATTATTACTCAGAGCAATTTTCTATTAATGGTAAAACAGAAAGCAAATGACTGTTTGTTAGTTGTAATGACATTCTGCAGTTATATTGTAGGCCCAGGAAAGGACTCCTATATGAAAAGGTCAGGGATGCTTGTCAGAAAATTTAAATTAAGCCCTTAAAGGATACCAATGTGGGTGTGGCTCGAGCTTTATTTGACCCCTAAGAGACCCTAAGAGACACCACTTAAAATCGTAATAGCCTCGATTACCAGCCATTTTTCAGGAAAGGAGTCTGCGCTAGTAGACCGCACTAGAAAGACTGGCAGAAATCAAGCCTAAAAACGTAAATAAGAGTGTTTTTTATTATTTTTTCTTTGAGTGCACCCTAAAAGATACCTTGACAGCTAAAGATAGTGGCATTTTGTTGTAAACACCCTAAGTGAGCCCAGAATCCTTGATTTATACCCCTAAGTGAGTTGACGAACGTCCCTGACCTTTTCATATGGGAGTCTCCCCCCCTTCCCCCAGAGTGTAGGGTCTGAAGTGATGGTGCGCTTGAGAAAGGACATCATAAGCTATAAATTAAGATCACAATTAAGTCACATAAATTGAGATGACAAGTCTTAGAAACCAAAGGTTTCTCTTTCAGAAACAGAAAACCATCTGGGAAACATTTGACCATCATAGCCATCTGTGACTGACAAACTGATCATCTGTACTTATAAGCTCTTTTAAATTTTGTGTCAATAGCAGGGTCTCCAATAATCACACAAGATGTTGAAAGTGAAGTACATGGAACACATGGACAGCATGTCCGTATACACTGTGAAGCATCTGGTCAACAGCCACTTCACTTTCAATGGTTTAAAAAAAGAGTAAAACTTCATGGACAAACAGGGAATACATTAACTCTTCAAAATGTATGGGAACGTGATGAAGGATATTACATTTGCCGAGTAGCAGATTCTTCTGGTTGCACATTCACCAGTTGGGCCAAAGTGATTATCAATGAAGACTACACTGCCTATGGTTCTTCACAATTTGGTAAGAACAGACATATGTATGATCATGATTAATAAGACTGATTTTCAGTGGTTTCACGAACTGCAGACAAAAGTGCCTTCAGGAAGTGGACTTCCCCAATTTTTCATATAAACACTAGACTTTTTTAACTTATATCAAGTCCTGTTCTAACTTGTTTTCCCTTTTCATCATCTCTGAATAGCTCATGGAAAGCATACAGTTTTTTCCAAAGGCTTCATATGAATTTTAGTGCTTTCAGATCATGTGCACTGGTTAAAGTCATTGACCGAGCTTTACTTCATTCTTAGTTGGTCATCTGAAAGCAGCTGCAGTTAATTGGTGATACATAACCTTGATAAACATTGCTAAGCAGTAATCTGCTCATCCCTTATCTTAACCATGAATCCTTGTTATGTGACAGCCTGCATAGCATGCAGGCATTTCAGTCCTAATAATTATGGTGCAAGTTGGAGTGACAGGCAAGAGCAAACAGACGTGTACAGGTGACTGAGACATGTGAGGAAAAAAGAGAAGCTCTGACATCCCTCTTCGCCATGCTCATCTTCTCACTCCTACAGACCACTACAACATGCATCTCAACCATTAACACACGGTTGCCTGCTATACTGGCTTTTTACTTGAAGATGCACTATACTCTCGATGAGATGTTTTCACCTTACTGCATGAAATTTTGTTTTAGAATTGCCTGAGTATGCTTTGATAAAATTATGTTTAATTAATTGCATGTCTTTAAAAAATGACTTGATAAAAATGATGGCATTGACTAGTTAGCCTTTCAACATTTCTGTATGTTTAAAAACTCAAATAAGTATTTTGTTTTGTAGATTTACCAGTCATCACAAGTCAACCAGATCACAGAGTTCCTGTACATGTACTTCAAGGTTCACAGTTAAGGTTGTACTGTGATGGTGTTGGAAGGCCAGCTCCAAGCTTTCAGTGGTATCATAACAACACACCCATCCAAGAGGCCACAAATAGAGTGTTTACAAGAAGTGCAGCTTCCACAGAAGATCAAGGTTTATATTTTTGTAAAGTGTACAACTCTGCTGGGGAAACCTTGTCCCAATCTACTCAAGTGATTGTTGCCAGACATGGAGGAGGTAATGCAGAACAGTATTATTGCACTTTAAAAGAGTCTCAGATTCTCCCTCTGGGGAAAGGGGTATTCTGTAAAACTTTCTTTTAGTGTTGGCATCATGCAGCAATAATTGGACTCTGCATTCCTTGCCTTATATATACTGGACCCTGTACAGTTGCAGTTTGCATCCTTCTGCTAGACTAGTCACTAAATCTTCGAAAATTTAAGGTGGCTCAGAACCCTACCTACAGAATTTGTTTAAACTTTGCCAAAAGTTGCGTCTTATCGTGTTTATCAAAGTTATAATGTAAAAAAAATTTCACCGTGCTGTTCTTGAATTATAAGCCCCTAAAGCCGTAATTTAGGGTGTTTTTAGGAGGTCATATTGTTGCTATGGTAAGCCATTGTGTCACGAAAATGATAACAACCTCTTCACCAATAATTGGGCAGTTTTTTGATACCATGATTGTAGCATCAAGTGATAAAGAGTAGTTATAACAACCCATCAAAATCTAAGTGTTGGAAACTGTTTTGAGCCATCTTAAGTTAAAGAAATTTTAAAAAACTGTCCCTTGGCATTTTTCTTTCGGGCAGTAATTTGATGTGCAAGTTGCAATAATTATTATAGTTTTGTCCTGTTTATCTTTTGTGCCATTTTTAGATTTACCTGTAAGAAGAGGGGGAAGTGGCCCTACTGACAGTGATCCCAGTGACAGTGAGAGAGGTATTTAAAATGTTTACTTGTTGTGTCTTCACATGGCAAGGGAAATGTGTAAATAACAATTTTTTGTTATACAACACCTGACAGTAACTTTGCTCCAAAATAATTACAAACATTCTATTTTGTTGTCTCTTTTGGTGTCTGCCCATTGTGTCGTTACAGAAAATATCCTTACCTCTCCCACAGAAGGTGTTTTTTCTAAGACCCCCTACCCCCACCCCTCTGGATATTCCAATTAAGCTTCATACATTTCTTTATTTTTTTTGATCCTACAGACCCCCCCTACCCCACCCCCAGGAAATTCCCTCCTGTGGTGGGGGGTGGGGGTTATAGCTTTCTGGAACTGCACATGGTTTGTTTGTGTGTTGTTTAAACCTGTTGATGTTGCCTTTCCTCTAAGTTGCAAATAAAGTGGCCCTGTTGATTGGAAATAAAGATTACCATTTCCAGCAGCTTGGAAGGCTCTTCCATCCAATCAATGATGCTTGTGACTTAACTGGCAGGCTGGTCAACATGGGTTTTAATGTAAGTTGTTGAACAGCATGAAACAACTTTGTTTGTTGTTAAAATTTCTGAGACAGCATGTTAAACCTTGTTTCCTTTCTTCTTTCCATTTGAAAAGCCTTCTCGCTGGCGAGGCTTTCAGAGGTGACTTGCACAATACTATTCCCCTTCTCCCCACGAGAAGGATGCCCCCAAATCTCAAAAGCAGTAATAAGACCCTTCCCGAAATGTAAGCCCTTGAACATACCTTCTTCCAGTTGACACTTACATGTAGTACAGGGCAATTTTTAATTGTCATTGCGTGTAGAGGATTTGTGTTTTACATCAATGTGCTTCCCAGGAATTTTGCTGCACGATATTCTTATGCATCGTAAAATTTTTTAGGCTTGCAATCCCTTTCAAACATAACTTCACCCTATTTTGCAGAACAGGGGAATTTGCGGGGCAGAGCGCAAAACGCGATACACGAGCGCAGAGCTCGAACACATGCGGGAAGCGCGGTTGTGCTCCGCACTCATGTATCGCGTTTGCGCTGTATCCCGCTAATCTACATGTTCTGTAGGATTTGGTTTTTTTGTAAATGCATCATTCCTTCCATTAACAAGCCCCCCTTCAGGAAATACATGTACACTCACTAACCTTTTGAGCAAAAATAAACTCTGCACTTGTTGTCTCGGACTCGTGCTATTGGACTTGTGGAGACGCCTAACTCTAAGAAATTATGTCCTTTCTTTGGTCATATGACTGCACGCTTTGGGATTGGGCTTCGGAATCTGGTTATATTTGGCCATAATGATGCTTTATCCACCATTATTTCAACATTTCAGGTAGTTTCACTGGTCAACCTGACCTTGGCAGAAATGCGAGAAGCCCTGGTGGAGTTTTGTAAACTTCTGGTCAAAGACACTTATGCTGTGTTCTATTTTGCTGGCCATGGTTTTGAGCGAGGTGGACGTAGTTATCTGATGCCAATCGATGCAACAGATTCGTATCTTCGCAACGAGAACTTGGCTTCAGCTGAAGTGCTTAGTGCTATGCAGGCGACTGAGGCAAAGTTGAATGTTGTCTTACTGGATTGCTGCAGAACAGAGTAGGTGAAATAATGAGCGGCTTAAAGGAGCTCAGTCACGATATTTTGAGTTATTTTGGCCACATACAAAATTACCTTTAAATGGTAGGAAACCTGAAAATAACAGTTTAATAAGATAA